ATGCAGGGTCCGGGGAGAGCAGATATAGTGAATGCAGGGTATGGGGAGATCAGATATAATGAATGCAGGGTCTGGGGAGACCGGATATAGTGAATGCAGGGACTGGGGAGACCAGATATAGTGAATGCAGGGTCCGGGGAGACCAGATATAGTGAATGCAGGGTCCGGGGAGACCGGATATAGTGAATGCAGGGTCCGGGGAGACCGGATATAGTGAATGCAGGGTCAGGGGAGCGCTGATATAGTGAATGCAGGGTCCGGGGAGACCAGATATAGTGAATGCAGGGTCCGGGGAGACCAGATATAGTGAATGCGGGGTCCGGGGAGCGCTGATATAGTGAATGCAGGGTTCGGGGAGACCGGATATAGTAGAATGCAGGGTCCGGGGAGGCCAGATATAGTGAATGCAGGGTCCTGGGAGACCAGATATAGTGAATGCAGGGTCTGGGAAGAGCGGATATAGTGAATGCAGGGTCCGGGGAGACCAGATATAGTGAATGCAGGGTCAGGGGAGACCAGATATAGTGAATGCAGGGTCCGGGGTTTAGTAACACTTTAAGTGCTATAACCTACAGCAACCAGAGTCTTATTTTTATCAGTATGACTTAAGTAGAGTGAATTCTGATTGGTTGTTGTGGGTTCTCACCATTTTGAATTAACAGTCTTTTTTGAACAAGGCTAGCCATAGGCTCAGTTTACAAAGCTAACACACCAACATAAGAAACATTATTTTTTTTAAAGTGACGGGTATTTCTATTTAAAGCCAACGAGATTAAAAAAAAAATCACATGGCTGAAAGAAAGATTACCATCTGGGTGTGCTAGCTTTGTGAGTTCATACTACAGTCCTGTGTGCTTGCCAAGTGACTCTGTCTCCTGGAATTCTTACAAGTCATGTGACCACGGCTTTATATATTCAGCATGTGTATACTGTGTGTTTATAATCTGAGATCACTAATGATAGTGGAGGTCGGAGGACAGGCAGATAGCTTTGACTTTGACTCCCAATGTTCCTGCAATACTTCATAAGACAGAAATCTTCCAGAAACATAGGTGCAAGCGATAAAATTCAAACACTGCCATTAAAATACAAAGATTGGAGCAAAGAAGATTGACCGTCGAGCTGTTCCCTATAGGAGGCAATCAGTTGTGCCTTTCATTTTAACGACTGCACCTGTTAAAGAAAATGATGCGTTGCAGTGCACTGCAATGGCAGAATGCACCAAATTTCCCGGCATTTCCCTGCATTCACACCTAAGGGTAAAACAAATCTTAATGCCTAAGCACAATTTTGCAACTTTGACATGTGTTAGTAAAACCGTACATATCATCACAACCAGAGGCGTCCCTAGGGTTGGTGTCACCCGTACGGTAATACTTGGTGACACCCCCTCCGACGATCCCCGCAGAATAGATCGGATCTGCGGATTGAGCATAATGGATCGGACTCCAACCCATTATGCTCAATCCGCAGATCCAATCCATCCTGCGGGGATCCTCAGCTTTCTTTACAACTTACCTTTTCGTGGAGCGGGTCCGGTGTCACCCTGTATAGGTTGCATGCCAATGATCCCCGCAGGATGGTTCAATCTGTGGATTGAGCAGGGGCGGACTGACCATTTGGAAACTCGGGCACTGCCCGAGGGCCCGGGGTCAGTAGGGGGCCCCATGAGATGCCCCTGGTACCTTTTTCATAGGCTTTTTTCAGTTTGGGCAAGGACACAGGGGCCTCATGATCCCCTATTGCCCGGGGGCCCCATGAGTTGTCAGTCCGCCCCTGGGATTGAGCATAATGGATTGGTGTCCAATCCATTATGCTCCCCAATCTACAGATCCCATCCATCCTGCGAGGATCGTCGGCTTGCTCTGCACCTTACCTTTTCATGGAGTGGGCCTGGTGTCACCCGGTATGGGCCGCACCACCCGCACCTTCCTCGGGACGCCACTGATCACAACTACTTTGTACATCCAGGTGAACATATACCTTTTTTTTTTTCAGGACAAATTGGGCTTTCATTTGGTGGTAAATGGATATCTCCTGTTTTTTTTATTAACAAAGGAAAACTGGCCCAAAAAAAGTAAAAAAAAATCATTTTTTAAAATTTAGCTGTGTATCTCTTGATACTACCATAACCTACCACCAAAGAACAACGATCGCAGCGATGCCATAAATGTGTATGTTTTTTGTTGTTTCTACCTGTACTACAGCCCAGAAACAAAAGCCCTCATTTTGCTTTTTGTTTTTGTCTTACCTAAAACACACTGACACTAACGGACACTAATAATAATAATAAAAAAAATCCTGCCTAACCCTAACCCGCAGTACAGTCCATTTAACATGATTTCCTATGTGACATGTTCACATCTGTGCTTTTTTTAGAAAGGGTCGTGGAATTTTTTCAACACAAAAAGTTACATTTTGGTTCTATAGACGTCAACGAAAACGCTGCAGAAAAGCATGCATTGCATTTTTGCCACGTTTTGATGCGGTTTGTGTTTTAAATCTGCCTAGAAACAAGAAAATTAAAAAAAAGGAAAAAAGCCCCCTCAAAACGTGGCAAAAACATAAAACTCAATGCAGAAACGGCTCAAATGCAACCCGCATAGGTGTGAACCTAGCCTAAAATATACTGACCCTGACTTTTGACCCTGACCTTCACCTTTGACCCTTACCTGACCCCAAACACTAACCCTGGCACTGACCTAGATCAAACTTTGATCTAGATATTTTTTCAAATATGCGGTCCCACAGCAAAAAGCCCAGTGCAGTGGAATCACATATTTTGTGTTACGGCAGCATCAAGGGGTTAAATGGGCTGCCTAGTGCAACATAGTTACATAGTTAGTCTGGCTGTAAAAAGACAAAAGTCCCTCCAGTTCACCCATTAAAAAAAAGAAGTTATAATTCTACACCACAGTTGATCCAGAGGAAGGAAAAAAAACCCCAGCAAAGCATGATCCAATTTGCTCCTGCTGGGATTCCTTCCTGATCCCCCGAGAGGCAATCGGATATTCCCTGGATCAACTTTACCTATAAATGTTATATCCAGTGATATTCTGTGTATCCAAGAAACAATCCAGGACTTTTTTAAAGCAATGCACTGAGCTGGCCAGAACCAACTGTTGAGGGAGTCTATTCCACATTTTCACAGCTCTTACTGTGAAAAAACCTTTCCGTATTTGAAGATTAAATCTATTCTTCCAGATGTAAAGAGCGCCCCCTTGTCCTCTGTGATGACCTCAGGGTGAATAACTCTACACCGAGTTCACTATATGAACCACTGATGTATTTATACATGGAGATCATATCCCCCCTTATGTATTATACATGGAGATCATATCCCCCCTTATGTATTATACATGGAGATCATATCCCCCCTTATGTATTATACATGGAGATCATATCCCCCCTTATGTATTATACATGGAGATCATATCCCCCCTTATGTATTATACATGGAGATCATATCCCCCCTTATGTGTTATACATGGATATCATATCCCCCCCCCTTTATGTATTATACATGGAGATCATATCCCCCCTTATGTATTATACATGGAGATCATATCCCTCCTTATGTATTATACATGGAGATCATATCCCCCCTTATGTATTATTACATGGAGATCATATCCCCCCTTATGTATTATACATGGAGATCATATCCCTCCTTATGTATTATACATGGAGATCATATCCCCCCTTATGTATTATACATGGAGATCATATCCCCCTTATATATTATACATGTTGATCATATCCCCCGTTAATCTCTTCTCAAGAGAGAATAAATTCAGTTCCTATAATCTTTCCTCATAGCTGATCTCCTCCATGCCTCTTATCAGTTTGGTTGCCCTTCTCTGTACTTTCTCCAGTTCCCCAATGTTCTTTTTGTGAATTGGTGCCCAAAACTGAACTGCATATTCCAGATGAGGTCTTACTAATGATTTGTACCGGGGGAAATGATATCTCTCTCTCTGGAGTCTATACCTCTTTTAATACAAGAGAGTATTTTGCCCACAGTGCACAAAAGCGCATGCATTGGGACGCGGTAAATCATTATGTGAACCAGCAATTTTGAAGTTGACAGTCTGGTTCTTATAACCATTTCCTCATTTGTAGAGTGTTTGGCTTGGGCTCTCTGTATAACAAATTAGATCCCCCCCCCCCCCAAACACACACACACACTTCAAGAATATCTGCACTGCCCAGTGTAGTTGTGGGACTGACATCTGGGTCCTACTCTATCTCTGTCATTGTCTCCTGTATGAATGTATGAATGAAGCCTGCAATTACTGTTTGCAGACTCCATTCATAAACACATTGTTACAATTTTTTTCAATGTATTTTTGCATTGTTAAAGCTGAAGATTAGTTATGGCAAATGTCACATACTTACATTGATCCAGCTTGGACCCCATGACCTGCAACATATTTGCTTACATGTAGAATCCCATGGAGTGCATGTACTGGACCATAAATTTGCACGCTTGGATGACTGATGTGGACATCCCAGGAGGCGGTGAGGGTGCAACGTCAAGAACACTTTTAAACATTTTTGAACGTTTATCTTCTTGTGGGAGAGGGGGAAGGGGAGGAGCCAAGAGAAAGAAACCTGTTTTTTTTTGGCAGAGGTTGTTTTTTAGATAAAAAACAGACCTGATTGTGTCTGAAATTAACAAAATATGTGAATGTATGGCCAGCAGAATTTGGGTTTCAGGACTATACTTTTAATGATAGATTTTTTTTTTTTGCTGTTGTTTTTGTATCTTTGTGAATTCAGATTTTTCTATGGATGTGATCTCCTTTAGTTGGCTATTGGGCTACCTACTAGGCCTATCAGATATTCAGCTCGATGGCCAACTGAAGGAGTTTTGTGAGTGTGTAAGGAAATTCTGGAGGAAAGCCAGGCAAGCACAGGGAGAAACATGTAAACTCCTTGCACTTAGTGTCCTGGGTGGGATTCAAATCAAGGACCCCAGTGCTGCAAGGCAAAAGTTCATCAGCACTAACCTTGTTTTTGGTAAAGCCTGAAATGCTGAACATAATTTATTTTCTTGAATATATTCATACCTTCTGTTATCTCCCTAGGAAAGGAATGCAGCCAGGATGAGAGCACCTCAGCTGCCATCTTCACCGTACAGATGGATGATTATCTCGGAGGAAAGCCTATTCAGTACAGAGAGCTTCAGGGCTACGAATCCAGCGCATTTGTTGGCTATTTCAAAGGTGGAATCAAATACAAGGTAAACTACAAGGATAGTTATCAACAACATCTTCTGTATCTCTGCTAAACACGATAAAAACTTTAAAATCTAACTCCAGCCAAATGTTTGTTCCTATTTCTGTCTGTGACACCATTGGGGAGATTTGTCCCCCACTTACTGATATACTTACTGATGTAATAAGCCATTGGTGGAGATTGCTGAACCTGCTAGACATGTGCGGTTCATTTCGTTCGAATTCGAACAAACTTTTCATTATTCAGACATTCAGATGTCTCCAAATGTCTAATGTACATTAGTAGGGAATCCGAAACAACGAAATGAATTTGGACGAAATTAGAATTCGAACTGAATTCAAATACAAAAAATATTGAATTCAAATAGAATAGAACATAAAAGAACAGCATAGAATAGATTAGAATAGAACAGAAACAGGGGCGGACTGACCATTCGGGTGCTCAGGCACTGCCCGAGGGCCCGGGTCAGTAGGGGGCCCCATGAGATGCCCCTGGTACCTTTCATAGGCTTTTTTGGGTGTGGTTTGAGTGTGGACAAGGACACAGGGGCCCCATGATCCCCTATTGCCCGGGGGCCCCATGAGTTGTCAGTCCGTCCCTGAACAGAAAAGAATGGAATAGATATTAAAACTCCAAAGACATGCTGGTAGATTAATTGGCCCTAATATGTGTATGTATGAATGTGAGTTAGGGACCTTAGATTGTACGCCCCCTTGAGGGTTAGGGACTGATGTGAATTACAATATGGTAAATTGACGGCGCTATATAAAAGACCTGGAAATAAATAAATAAATAAATAAAATAATACAATATAAAAGAATAGAACAGAGTAGAAAAAAACAATAGAATAGAATAAAATTTTACAAATATAACGGTCTTCCGAAATTCGAATTTTGAAGAGAATACATTTTAATTCTAATAGAATAGAATAGATTAGAATAGAATATAATAACAATATAAAAGAATAAAACAGAATAGAGAAACAATAGACTAGAATACAATATAAAAGAATAGAATAAAATAAAATAGAAAGAATATAACCATCTTCTGAAATTCAAATAGAATAAATTAGAATTTGAATACCAATTCAAATTCAGTCAAATTGAATTAGAATAGAATTTGAATTGAACTGAATTCCAAAAAGGAAAGAAAAAATTCCGTAAACGAATTAAATGAATTTAACGAAACTAATTTATTTAAAAAATGAATGGAAACAAAACAAATGTTTTCATTCTGCACATGTCTAGAACCTGCCTCCCTTCCCCCACAGTATAAATTCAAACAGTTATATTTATGCCCAAAGCTAGATGTAAAACTACCTTGAGATGGTAGGGCTCTGCCTGTCCAGCATACCATCCTGTTCTGTCTAAGGCCACCTTTAAAGGGTCAGTTCACCAAAAAATTTGTATTACAGCTTCTGGCGGACACTGAAGAATTAAGTGTAGTGACCTCCTCTAGGTAGGCTGCTCAGCTAAATTTAATTTAATTTTTGGCTTCCCTGTAATCAGTGGAGCAGCGATCTATTGGTTTTGTATGTTAAGGGTTTCCTGAGCTGGGAATCTGATTTCTCTCACCTACTTCTGGAAGAAGCTTCCAGAATATAGGGCAGGGAGACTTAAATAGCCAGCATGAATATTTATCATGCTCCAGCCAATCCCTGGAAGAAGGTGTCCAGAAGGTGGCTGGGGAGGTGATCAGTGTTTGAGAGGCCTGAGCAGAGTGCTCTTTCCTCTCCAATGAGGTTCCTTGGACTGCAGCCCCTAGGAGAGAGCTACTGAGGCACAAAATTGCCATCTGGTCCTCAGCAGGATCTGGGCTGAGGGCCCGGAGGAGATTTCTAATGGACTTGCTGGAGGGCACTGTCCTAAATTCTGGTCTGGAGAAGGATCTTTTATATCTCTCATTGAGGATCTACCTGTGGATGCTCAGTGGCAGACAGCTACTGGGACATTGTCAGTAAGATCTGATTTTGGACTGTAGAATGTGCTGCTCCTGTAAGGATTTTCAACTAAGAAGTCTGTCCTCCCATTGATTGCTATTAACGTTTTGGAGTGTCCTGTGACCCTAAACTCCTCTCCTAATCTAGTTATTCAGCAAAACTTTTTTAAAAGACATCCCCTGGACATAGCTTGAATTGTTGGTGTGCATAGAACTGTGCTTGTGACTGGTAGCCTCTGTACTATTTGGGGAGACCTGGGCAGGGGCGGACTGACAACTCATGGGGCCCCTGGGCAATAGGGGATCATAGGGCCCTGTCTCCTCGCCCACCCAAAACCTATGAAAAAGCCTGAAAGGTACCAGGGGTATCTCATGGGGCCCCCTACTGACCCCGGGCCCTCGGGCAGTGCCCGAGTACTTGAATGGTCAGCCTGCCCCTGGACCTGGGCATATTCTCAGTGGCCCCTCTAGGTGTAAGCGCTAGGCAAGTCATCTGACAGTGTCTTTCCGTGACTCTTCTGGAGAGAACTCTTGGTTCCTGGGTCCGAACACTTGCTCTGGCCATTATGAGACACCCAATGCTGATTTTATTATTTCATTTATATTCTGTAGAGTATAACAGGAGGAGGTAGGGTACACAAAGATGGGCAGGAACAAAGTTGGGAACTATGGCAGGAGATCTCGCTTTTGGGGTATACAAAGCATATAAGCAGTCAAGGGCTGACTGAGCCCAAAAAAGTCCACCTACTAATAATACATAACTTTTTTGATGGATGATCCCTTTAGGCTGTGTTCCAGCATAGCAGGATCTATTCTCCATTACCTGGAGGCATACAGGTCTCTAGGTAAGAGCGACTAGAACATAAAAACCTGGTAATTCCAAGGTGAAAGTGTTTATTGTGTGCACAAATAGCTTTTCTGTGGGTCATTAACCACCTGCCCTCCTGAGGATTCCACCCCTTCCTGATCAGGCCATTTTTTTGTGTTATGGCGCCGTGTTATTTTAACTGGCAATTGCTCGATCATGCAATGCTGCACCCAAATTAAATTTACGTCCTTTTTTTCCACGAATTGAGCTTTCTTTTGGTGGTATTTGATTGCCTGTGCGTTTTTTATATTTTGCACTATGAAAAAAAAAAAGACTGACAATTTTGAGAAAAAAACAATATTTTTGACTTTTTGCTATTAAACAAGTCCAATAAAAAAATAAAAAAAATCAAATTTCTTCATAAATTTCAGCCAAAATGTATTCTGCTCCATGTCTTTGCTAAAAAAATTCCCAATACATGTAAATTAATTGGTTTACGTGAAAGTTCTAGAGTTTAAAATGGCTGTATATACTGGGATTTTTTTTTACATTTTTACTAGTAATGAGCTACTTATAGCAGGACTGCGGCAGACATTCTGACACTGGGGGGGAACTGACGTGGTGTCACTGACATCCCCAGTGACACCAATACAGTGATCAGTTCTAAACAAAAGCACTGACACTGTACTAATGGCACTGGGCAGGAAGAGGCTAACATGAGGGGCGATCAAAGGGTTAACTGTGTGCTGGGAATGTTTTACTAGTGGGTGGTGTCTGTGTGCTTCACTGTAATCAGTGGTGTATTTAGGTTTTGTGCTGCCCTAGGCGGAGAAAGCCTGACATAGACTGACACCAGACCACACCCCCACCCATGGAGAGACCCTAACATTGACCAATAACACCACTGTCTCCCACCCCTCCTCCCCCACTTGAGAGATTCTTCCACTAACACCCCCCCCCCCCCCGGCGACAGAGAGAAAGGCACTTACCTTCACAGCTCTGGCCATCCCCAGGAATGACAGTCGGGCTCTGCATACACCATCAATCATCCTGCAGCCTCTCTCAGATCCCACCTGGTAACCATGCCGGATATGTCCCTTCTTCTGGGGGGCAGTGTTGCTACCCTAAAAAATGCCGCCCTAGGCAAATGCCTTGTTTGCCTTGTGGAAAATACGCCCCTGACTTTAACCACTTCCATACCGGGCAATTTTACACCTTCCTGCCCAGGCCAGTTTTCAGGTTTCAGCACTCTCACACTTTGAATGACAATTGCGCGGTCATACAACATTGTACCCAAACTAAAATTTTACCATTTTCTTCACACAACTAGAGCTTTCTTTTGGTGGTATTTATTCACCGCCGGGGTTTTTATTTTTTGCTAAATTAACAAAAAACGACCAAAACTTTTGAAAAAAAACACGTTTTTCTTTGTTTCTGTTATAAAAGTTTACAAATAAATAATTGTTCTTCATAAATTTAGGCCGAGATGTATTCTGCTACATGTCTTTGGTGAAAATAACCCAAATTAGGATGTATTTTTTAGTTTGTAGGAAAGTTATAGAGTTCACAAACTATGGTATAGATCTGAATATTGATCAATCCTGAAGTACTGACAGCCAATCTAATTTCTTAAGGTCCAAGAATGTCAGAACAGTACAGATATCCCCCAAATGACCCCTTTTTGCAGAGTAGACAGTCCGACGTACTTCATAAGAGGCATGGCGAGTTTTTTGAAGTTGTATTTTTTTTGTCATAATTTTTCGGAAAATGAAAAAATAAAAAAAGTATTTTCACTATTTTTTTTTTTACATACTGTCACCAGTGCAGTACAGCGTCATCATATAACTGGCATGGCGGTGAACAGGGACACTGACTGGTGACAGTGTGAAAAAAATATATATATATATTTTTTTTTTATTATTTTAAATTCTTTATTACATTTTTTTTCTTTTTTTTTAAGATTTTTTTTTCATATTTCACCATGTCCAAAGTAGTACAATGTTACCATAGTAACATTGTACTACTCTGGGGAAGTGATCAGTATTTTTTTTTTTTTTTTTACACAATTTGCTTATAGTAAAGAATTACTTTGCTATAAGCAAGCATTTACCTGAATGAAATCGATTCATTCAGGGTTTTTTTTTTGTGCTTAGCTGTGATTTGGCCACAGCTAATCACATGACATGTGCATGTGACCTGCTGTGACTATTTACAGCTAGACACTAGTATACAATGGATGGCATGAATGAAGCCATCCA